CTTCTTCTACTTCCCAAGCCATCTTCTATTTATAAAAAGGAAGCTTCAAGTGTGTATCAAGTATCAACCGAAAGGGAAATTCGTGACTTTACTTGTGTTACACTCAAATTTTTTGGGATATACAGTATTTGGTTTGGCTATAGGATAAGTTATAATGTTGAACTCAATATAAGCTTTAATAAGTTTCAAAACCTTAAGAGGTCTTTTTGTATAGAAAAAACGCTTTTATATTATTCCGAATTCGGTACTATGCATTGTAACAATACTTTCGAAAGACAAAATTGTTGTTCGAATCGAACCAAAACAAGTTTAATTTTGGGTTTTGTGAAAATATTTTCTTCTATATGGGTTTATAAATGATTACAACGCCAATATCGGTCACAAAAACTTTCTAATACTTAATTATACTTTTTTTAGCTAAATGCAGTATTCCTATAAAGTCTGTACAAATTTTTAATATTTCTAACCGTGTACAAAATTTATGGTCATTGTCCAATTAATACACAGCTTGAAGTATATTTCAATAACTTTAATTAAAAGATTATTCTAATACCTTGCTCAAAACTTTAATATCTAAATATTCCAATCGTCTTACTAACCATGCATAGTACCCCTTCACATTCACGCATTTTCTATAACTTGTTTTGCATATATAGTTATGTGTTATATATGACTAGTTAAAAGTTTTTTAGTCTCCCGAAACTAATTTTTTTAAAAGTTTCATGATAACTTTTTAAAACGTCATCCAATTTAAGATTTCTGGTGTTTCATGGGGTATTTTTACATCTGGTTTAACTTCTAAACAAAACAAACAAATCTTATCTGGTTTATCACCTAAAGTTGCAACATGTTGTTCGCATCAAGTCTTTTAATTCACAAAATCATTAGTTTTATTAAGATAAGGCCGACAAAGAAAAGCTTACTCAATGGCTTTGAGTAAATGCCTTCATATAATCGAATCCATGAATCATCCTTCAATGCTTCTTACATTTGTCTGAGAAAAACCTACGAAAATCAAAACCAGATTAATGTGGAAGTATTGCTTCAATACCTTCAATGCGGTACGACCAATTTCATGAGCTAAGAATACTTTGTATACTTTAGTTGGTTGGTATTCTTAGCTCAATTAGATTAGTAAATAAAAAGTGTTGAACGTATTACTAAAATTCTAATAACATTTAAAATTTTTATGAAAAGGAAATCAAAAGGTTTTATGACCCTTTTGATTAAAAGAAAACCTCCAGTTCCATGACAGTTTAGTTGGGATTATTAGCTCAATTAGATTAAAAAAAATGATT